CCCATTAGGATTGTGGGTGCTGACCCCAGCTCCTGCTGCTGTGACATCCCCAGGACCACAGCTCCAGGGCTGCAGGACCTCCCACGAGTGCTGTGGCTTTGCCTCCTGGACGCTCAGTTTGCCCCTGTGGCCCCATAAGGCGGGGAGCATAGGTGACATGCATGGCAGTCCCCACGCTGAAGGTCACGGGGACGTGTGCCGGAGCCGCGTGGCAGGGTGTGAGTTCCAGCCTGGCTGCCTACCAGGAATGCGACCTCAGACGGGTGACCCTCTGGAGGTCTTGTTCACCCAACTGTCCAGGGGGGTTAAAAGCAGTCTGCCCCCGACAGGAGAATAAGACTTTAAGCACAACGGACTCATAGGACAGCGCCCTGCACACTGTCAGCACATGTAAGCATCAGTCGTTCTCATTACATACAACTGCTCTGTCCTCCAAACCACCTGTTGGGTCCTCCTCAAGCCTGAGGCCCTAGAAGCACTCTCCCTTTGGCACTAGCCCTGGGCGCAGGAGCCCTAGCTGCCAGCCACTAGCCCCTCCTTGCCGGCGTGCTCCAGGTGAGGCTCTTTGTTCTACGACCTCCAATCCTCACCAGGTGGGGGTGGGGGTGGGGGCAGGACTTTGTACCCATTTTCTAGGTGCAGCCAGCGAGGCCCAGAGGGTGCAGAGAGTTGCTGAGGCCCTGCAGCTGGTGTGTGGCAGAGCTGGGGCGGAAACCCTCCTGCCTCTGCCTGGGACTCGTGGATCCCCACCCTCCCTCCTGTGCTGTGAGCCAGATGTGTGGCTCCCAAGAAGGGCAGATGCTTGGAGGCACTGGGGATGGCCCCTCTGCGCCAACCTGCATCGCTTTCTCAGGTTTCATTTGTTTTGCTTTTCCTTCCACTGGTGGGCCCACTTTGGACACACCATTCGCTGTTGCGGGGTCTGTGCCGGGAAAGCTCACTCCGGGGAGCGTGTAGGAACTAAGCTGTCTGGAAGGCTGGGTGGGCAGGGAGGCAGTTAGGGGGTGGGCAAGGGCAGGGAGCTGGGGAGGGGAGGAGGTGGTGGTATGGGGGCAAGAGCCCCACAGGAGAGCCACAGGGAGCTGGGGTAGGTGTGGAGAGGTGGAAGGAGGTGAGGAGGCACCTTCTGGGGAGGGATCCTGGCCCGGGACAGTAGGGCTGCTTAGTGTCCTCGAGAATCTCCTGCCCTTGGTCATCCTCGGCTGGCAGCTCCAGGGAAAACCAGCCACATGGTTGCCCAGCTTTGCCTCTGCAGAGGGGCCTGTGGCTCTATGTACTTAGCGTGGAACCACCAGCCTTCTCTGGGTCCCTGAGAGATTCCGGGGGAGACTGCCAGTGGGCATATGTCTGGGCAAGGGCTCCATGAATGAAAAGTTGCAAATCTGCATGTGAGAAAGGCATTTGCTTGCTTAGAGAACATGGCTTTGGAAAAGCAGTTCCTCCTCCAATCGTCCCAACCCTGAGCTGGTGAACAGGGCTGGGAGGTGGCGATGGCTGAGCAGGCAGGGAGGCGGGCACTCTGTACACGCTCTTACCCTGCAGCCTCCATGACGGGCAGAGGGGCGTTTCACACGGAGTCCAGCGGTCCTGGAGCGCCTGGCTTTGCCCCACGCCCTGCATGGGGCCACACTTGCTGCCATCTGTCGCTCTCAGGGTCTAGACCAGCCCGGTCCCCTAGTGCGTCCGTGGGGACAGAATGGCTCTAGAGCTGTGCTGGTCTGGCTCTAGTCACCACGAACCCGTGTGGCTGCTGAGCACTGGCACCATGGCTAGTTCCCCTGAGGAACTGGATCAATTTTAGCTAACTTTAACTTCAGGTTAAACAGCCTCCTGCAGTTTGACGGCAATGCCGTAAAGGTACAAGTTCCCCCACATTGATCTCTGAGGCGAAGGTGACTCTAGTGAAAAGCCCACCAGGATTTTTCATGGGTCTGAATGAGCTGATTTTAAAATTCATGTGGAAGAATACTTAAACAGCCAAGACTGGTTTTAAAAAGAACGAATGAAGAGTTTTGCCATAATGAGAAAACGCAGAAAGCTAAAAGGCTGATGCTGGCATAGTAATAAATGAATCCACTAACCATTAGCGTGGAGCTTCACAGGGTCTTGATTCTGTTCACGGATACATCCCAGGCCCCTACCCCAGTGCTCAGCATGTAGGAGGTGTTCAGTAAACACATCCTGATTGAATGAATGGATCCACACACAGGCCTACATTCCTGTAGGAATTAGATAGAATTTTAGGAGAAAGGACAGATTCTTTGATAAACTGTGTGGAGACGATTGGCTAATTTATGTAGAATAACAAAGGTCAGACCCTTCACCTTGGTTCTCCAGAACAAACTTCAGGTTAAAGTCCTAAAGGGTATGAAATAATACTATGAAACTACTGGAGAAAATATTTTAAAACTGTTTTTATGATTTGGGGCATGGCCTTTTAAATTAAAACATGAAAAGCCAAAGTAAAAAAAAGGGATGATTTGACTAATTAAAATTAAAAGCTTTTCGTACAACATGGTGACTACAGTAATACTGTATTGTATATTTGAAAGTTGCCAAGACAGTAGATTTTAGAAGTTCTCATTACAAGAAAAAGAAATTTTAGCTATGTATGATGATGGATGTTAACTAGACTTATTATGGTAATCGTTTCCCAATGTACTCAAATATAGAATCATTATGGTGTATGCCTGAGACTAACATAATATTCTATGTCAGTTACACTCAATTTAAAAAATGCAAAATGAAAGACTTCTGTTAGATGAGAGAGAATAAAACTAAAAGGTGTATAATTAAAAACCACTGAAGTGTACACTTCATAAAGGTGAGTTTTATGGTATGTGAATTATATTAAAAAAAAAGACAAGTGACAGGAAGAAAACATTTATAATTACAAAGGATTAGTACACCCACAATATATAAAGAGCTACTAGCAAATCAAAATGACAATCTAACAGAAAAATGGGCAAAGACTATGAACAGGCATTTTTTACAGAAGAGAAAAACAAATGGCCCAAAGACACACTAGAGATGCTCCATCTTAGAAGCAAGCAGGGAAATGCAAACTAAAATGACCAAGAGACACTACTACTCTTTGGTTGGGGCTGGGGAGGTAACGTCAAGTGTGAGGGAAATGGGAGTCTCAGATCCAGCTGCAGAAAGAGGAAACAGCACCGCCTTTTAAAGAGAAATTGGGCAGTTTCTAGTTCAATGAAAAATGTGCCTACCTAAATCCCGGCAGCTCCATTTCCAGCGATAGTGCCTCTTCCCCAGAGCCCCCAGAAGGGTGTGCATAAGGAACAGATCTGTGCCTACCATCGTATCAGAAGAGGGCCTCAGATGGAAGGCCAGGGTTTGAACCTGGGCAGCCTGGTCCCGGAGCTGTTCTGAACCACGGCTGTGTCTACTGTTCCTAAGAACACACACATGAGCCTTTTGGAAAAAAGATCTGGGGGAGAGACTCCAAAATGACCAGAGTCAAAGGGGATGTTATCCTAACTGGAAGGCTTCCACATCCAATGGAGAATGTATTCATGTATTATGTATGTAATTAAAAACTAATAGAGCTAGAGAGAATCTACAGGGACCAAGCCTGGTTGGTTGAGGGAGACCGTTTTTTTCTGGCTTCTACCTGTCCGCTCAGCTAGGACTCTTGCATCAGGAAGCGATGTCTGCCAGGGATGAGGTAAGCCTGGGCACTGGGGGAGGCCCCCAGGTTAAACCAGCCTCCCCTAGGAGAGCACACGAGCCTGGGTCTAAGATGATCTGGGAGCTGGCTGTGCCCAGAGCAGGTGCGGGCACTTCAGGACAGAGTTCAGGATGGGCTAAGCAGGCCAGCACCCTCCCTGTCTTGTGTGCTGCTCTGCCATAGCTCCTGCAGCGGTGGGGCCAGTCCCGGCACACAGCAGGCCACGGGCCTGCGGGAGACTCAGAGGAGTGCACCCAGTCCATGCAAGGCATCCAGGACTCTTAATTCTTAGCTAAGCAATGACCTACAACCCCCTGGCTGCCCTGCATGGATACCCACCCTCTGGGATAGGTCTCTCTGAACCCCCCAGATGGCACTTCCACTTGTACCAGAGTAGCTCAAAGTTGCCCCCAATCCTCCTCCAGTCTAGGAGAGGAGGAAGCAGCGAGCAGGTAAGTGCAGCAGATGTGTGTCAGTGACCACCAGCCAGTAACTCCCCAAAACCCAGAGGAGTCAGAACCAGGCTGGCATTTGGTGACCCCGAGCCCTGGAGGCCCGGTGGATAGAAACAGAGTGAAATATGAGGTGTATAACCACAGCCTGCCAGTTTCCTCCAGCACTCGGCCTGCCTCCCCTTCTGCTTGCTATTTTTGGCTGTGCTAAGAATAGCAGGCTTTAAATACCCACCTCCCTCCTTAGTCTGCTCTGAGACTGCCCCCACAGCACCTTTCCAGAAACCCAGGTGGGGAGTGGCCACTCAACAGACCCAATTCACACCTCACCCTCAGGGCCTTGCTGAGACTTCTGCAAGCATCCAGTTTACCTGAGTCCCCTCCGCAGACGTGTACCTGAGTCCAGCCCGCACCTGCTCCGTAATGGCCTTGCTGTTCCGTCACGGCCCCATCATGTTCTTGCTCAGAGACCTTTGTGCCCCTCATCACCCAGAGAATAAACTCCAACCCCAGAGCCTAAGGGTCACGGCTGGGCAGAGCATACACGCTGTGTCAGCCTTCACATAACACATGTTCCAATCACCTACTGTGTACCAGGCACTGTTCTAGGTAAGGCCCTGTGCTGGGGAGGCGAGAGCCACTGCTCTCCCCACGACAGGGCCCTTGGGAAGGGCCGGCCCATGGCTCAGCAGGCTTGTCTCCCCTACCAATGGCTCGGGCTGTACCAGGTGTCATGCCCTCACGCGTTCACATTAATCCCTTGGTGCATGCAAAGGCACTGAGGCATGAGAGGAAGGCCCAACTGAGTCCCCAGGGTGTCCCGCCCACCCTACCTCCCCCTGCAGGGCTGGGGCACTCACTTGTTGAAGAGGTTGAGGCCGATGCGATAGTGCCTCTTGCGGATGACGTCGTTGCTGAAGGCAGGCGAGTCCCAGCTGTTGCGGGTCTCCTTGTGGTAGGTCTGCTTGCTGAGCGTCTGTTCCCGCAGGCTGTCACGGGACGAGGACTCGGAGCTGCAGTTGATGGTGTCGTTGGAGTTGGATGTGCTATTGATGCTGTCATTGTCCCCGTCCGAGTAGTCCGACTCGGACTTGCTCTGCCGGTTGGCCGAGCCGTTGATGGCCAGGTGGCTGTCCAGGGGCCTGGGCGGCCGAGGCCGCAAGTCCGGCTCCTCCCGGAGGAGTCCTTTGGGGTGGCCACCGTGGGGGCCGTGCTTGGGGCTGCCCTGCTGCCCACCAAGGCCACGCTCGTAGGCACTGTGCCTCTTGAGCGAGCCGCGGTCCGAGCGGTCGCTGAGGTCTGCAGAGCTATCGCTGGGCGGCTCGATGGTGAGCAGAGGGAGGTGCTCCACCCGCAGCCGCTGCTCCTGCCGCTCCAGCGATGGCGTGCTCCGGCAGCTGGTGTCTGTGTCACCCTTGTCGTCCTTGTGAGCCAGGGCCCAGTAGTCCTGGGCAGCAGCCCCAGCCCGCAGCCGCAGGTCCGACTCAGCACTGGGGGGCCGGTGCCCTGTCTGTGCAGATGGCAGGGGCGGCGAGAGCTCCTCCTCATCGATGTACAGGGTGACATCGCTGTACGAGGCCGTCATTGCATCCCCTCTGTGGTGGTCCCCACTGTGCAGGGCCGGCTTGGGCTCCATGTCCCGGGCCCGCCCCACATCTGGGGCCGGTGCCTCCTCAGCGTGCAGGCTGCGGCAGTTGAGGGCATCGTCGATGGATTCGGCCAGTGACTTCACCTGCCGGGAAAAGGCGTCTTCCAGCTCCGTGATGGCATCTGCAAAGTCACTGGATGGGGCTGGAGACTTGAGAGTGGGTGGCTGGCCAAGGTCACCGCACTCAGGGGGCACCAGAGCCCCCAGCTGCGAGTCGTCATCGGTCACTGAGACTTGCTTCCCCTCGAAGTAGGAGCTGTGCACCTTCTCGGGCCCCTCAAATGAGAACTGCATCCTCATGTTGGACAACACAATCCGGCGGGACATACGGTTCTCTGACATGGAGCTGCGTAGGCGCTCAAAGTTCTTGTTCATCTGGTACTGGCGGAAGGCTGTCTGGATGGTGCGGGCTGCATGGCGGGTCACAAGGCGCCCCCCATATTTCCGTTCTAGCATCTCCACCTGGAGGAGGAGGAGAGAAGAGTGAGGACAACCCAGCATGCTGGCTCATTCCCATTCCCAGCCCCACTGCACACTGTCTGGAGAGGCCTCAGCAAGCCCCAGAGTTGATTAAAACAACTGCTGGGATGCACTGGTGGGGCTGTGCAAAATATGGGCTCCAAAAGATGGAGATGCACTGTGTTGAGTTAGAGCAAGAATACTCCCTGCAGGATTCTCAGAGCCTTTGCAAAGTGGTGGTTTCCCTCCTGTGGCCACTGAAGCCTGTGTCCCTGGTATATCCTGTGGTGCATGGCTTAACAAAACCTCAGAGATGCTGGGAGAGGTGAAGGCAGCCCCTCCACCAGGGATGAGGGACCCGAGACACATGTAGACTGAGACCTGCCGAAGACCTCAGCATGGGCTGCAGGCATCCTGCCTCCTTTCCTTCCTGCGGCCCCAACACTGGGTGCTTGGTGGCACAAGGGTCACTGAGTGTCAGGGAGGCCTGAGACAATCGCCACACTGAGGAGCAGGCTTCAAGGTCAGATGCATGGCTCCCACTCCTGGCCCTGCCATCGTTAGCTGTGTAACGAGTGAGCCTTAGAACCGTGCAGTCTCCCCATCTGTAAAGTGGGGCCAGTAGTGAGACTGACCTGATGGGATTCTGGTGGGCACTAGATGAGAGGCAGGGACAGCAGGGGCTAGAAGACCCTCAAGCTCATTCCTGGAAATTGGTTACCGTTTATGGGGTCCCCAAGTCTCTTCACTGTAGAAACAGGGAAACTGAGGCCCAGAGAAGTGGCCCAACACACATACCGAGGCCTCCAGCATCTACTGGGAGCTCTCACCCTCTGGAGTTGCAGGCCCTGATGGCCCTTCTCGTGAGTTTGGAGGTGGGGTGGGGCTGCAGGCAGGTTGGGGGGACAGTGACTCCCGGTGTGGCACATGGGCCTCCAGAGGCTCATGCTGCTTCCGGGGCCAAGGACAGCCCAATGGCCGCTCCCCAGGACCTCACTCCTGTGTAAACAGCATGCCTCTGAACACCTGGTGCCCACTCTACAGGAATCAAAGAAAATCCATGAGAAGGACCTGGCTTCTTGGCCAAGCCATGGACCTCCGGGCACTGAGCAGAGCAGGCACCTGATGTGGGGCTTAGAGAGGTCGCCAGTCCCTGAGAGCCAGACACCCTGTGCTTTGGACGCAAAGCACCACACCCTGCTTGCCTAGGTTTCACCTGCCTCCTCCTGCGGGGTGCCATGCCAGAGCCACGGCAGAGACAGGTAAGGCCCCTGCCCTCAGGAAGCCCTGGGTCTATCGAGGAGAACAAACAGATGCACACATGTAACTGAAATTAAGCCAAACAGATGCTGAGCAAATCCAGGCTGTGGCCTGAGTCAGGAGGGGCTGCTCAGGATGGCTGGGGGCGGGCCTGGAAGGGAGGGTGCTGGTCCCCTGCTTCCCAGCCGGCCAATGGCCTATTCATCTCTTTGGAAAGTGAGGGTGTGCGAGTTCTGTGAGGCCACCCTCTTGGGGTGCCAGCTCTCCGGGCCCACAGGAAGGGGCAGCGGGCCAGGCAGCGCGCCTCCCTTGGCAGGAGGGGAGCAGGGAATGGTGCTGGTGGGCGGCTGGCGTTGTGGAAGAAGACAGCTTTTCAAAGCCTGGCGGGGCCCAGAGTCAGCCAGGGAGGGTCTGTTTTTCCTCTCACCCTCAAGTCACTGAACACCATCCAGAGATGACCTCACTTCCACATCTGTAGGCCGAGAGTCTCTGTTTTCTGGGGTTTCAAGTAGAGCTCCGAAAGCCCAGGGGGCAGATAAAGGGCCCAGGGCTGAGTTCCAGGAAGCCCCTTCTGCTGGGCCTCCGTGGCCTGTGGTCCTGGGCCCCTCACGCCAGCCCTGGAGGCGGGGGTCACGACGACAGGGGCCCCCAGCTCAGGCCCAGAGCACACTCAGGCCCTTTCTCTCCTCGGACTTTGCAAACCAGGCAGCGACCCTGTGTGTCTGAGACCATCCCCCCAACTCTGGGGGTGGGGGCGGAGAAGGTCTTCGGCATCACAGGGATGGGCTCCGTGTCTCATCCTCAAAGCCTCCTTCAGCCCCTCCAGAGAGGCCTCTGCGAGAGGATGGCCCCTGGCCCCGGCGTGCCCTCACCCTGCCCATTCCTCCTTCTGGGCCGGAACTGACTCAAGGCCCAGTGTGAGAGTTACTGAGGCGCAGGGGGTGACCAGTCAGTGTGCGTGCCCCTGCTGGGTGTCACCCTCACCACGATGTATAGTCCGGGAGTGGCTCTGGACTCCCCCTCTCCCTCCAAGGACAGAGGCTCTGAGCGGTGACATGACCCCCGCCCCCCAGCAGGGGCTCACCCATCGGGCCCTCACCCCTTGAAGAGGAAGCTTCTCAACAGCGGGAATGAGGCAGCAAGAGGAAAGCCCCTCCACAAGCAGATCCGCCCCCTCTCGACAGCTCAGACCCCAGCTCACCTACAGGAAACCACCAGAAGGGGCAGAGGCCCAGGGACCAGAGGGAAACGAAGGCACTTCCCACTTCCCGCTGGGCTTCCTTCACTGAAACGGGGCTCTGCGTTATTCAGACTTTAGCTGGAATTGGGCACCCTACCTTCACTCAGCAATTCCCATGCAATCTGTCCTATTCTCACTTATCCTGGATAGCCTGGGAGCTCAGTGGAACAAGCGCTCAGTGGCCCTCAAGGCCACCTCCTCTTCCCTGCTTTCCTTTCCATCAAGCTTATTCTGCCTCAGGGCCTTGGCACCTGCTGTTAGTGCTTCCTGGAAGGCCCCTTCCTCAGACACCCAGTTCTGATACTACTAAGAGAGGTCTTCCCCACCTCCCTTCTCCAAGGCTGTCACCTCCCACATTCACTCCATTTCTTTCCCCTATTTTATCATCACTGGAGTTTCTATGACTTTCTGGAATTAAACTGGGTCTTTATTGCTAACTTGTTTGTAGTCCATCTCCTGGACCATGGTGTCAGATCAATAGCCAGGGTCTCACCTTGTCTACTGTCAGCTCCCAGCACCCAGCACAGCGTCTGGCACATGGTGGCCATCGGCTAGTATGCATGAGATGAAAATGAACAGCTGTGGCCATATTAAGGAAGCATACAATTATCTCCACAGGCCTCTATTAAGTCTTTTAACCTTTCTCGTTTTCCATTTTAATGGTCCTGCTGCAGATGTCTTTTACTGGAAAACCATTCCGATCTATTTGGATCAGGGTGGAACTGATAAATGGGACCAAGGCCATTCTGCCTGCCATGGGCCTGGCCGTGGGGCTGAGGGTCCCAGCGGGCAGGGGGCTCTTTGCTCCCACAGCCTGACAAGGGGCCATTTTCTATCAGGCTCTGACCACTCGCCAGCCCCATCAGCCCCCATAAACAGGTAGGAGGAGGAGAGGCCAGGGCCAAGGGAGGCAGGACTGTCCAACGCTGCAGGGCAGCATGGAGAGCAGGAAGAGGAGGGGGCTGGGAGGGGGCTCTGTCAGTGGGTAGACCCCCCTGGGCAGCACCTACTCTGCTCTGGGAAGAAGTCAGGGGCTACCAGGCCCAGACCTCTGCTCCATAAAAGACAAATGAGGTGGGAGAGCAAAGAGGGTGACCAGGCAAGAAGCAGATGTGGGCAGGAGGGAGGGCTGAGCAACTCCTGCAGCCTGGCATCTGAGGGGCTGCTGCAAGGGTCCTGGGGCCAGGCAGGGGAAACTGCCCAAACGCAGCGCCCAGGAGCTGGGGAAAGTAGGGCAGACGAGCCAGGTCCTGCATGCTTGCACAGCTGCTTCCTGGGAGCCCAGGGGGTTCTGGAGCCTCACACTTCCCGGCAGAGTTTCACAGGAGAAATCTTATTAAAGTGCTTACTATGTGCCTGCACTCTGAGGGACTAAAGTGAGAAGTCTCTGCCCCCACCCAGCTGGGCCAGCTTCTCCTCATTCCCCTCACCCCGATACGTCGCCTCTAGGCCCTCCCCTTCTGAAGCCAGGCGGGCAGGCCTCACGTCCTCCTTGCTCTGCACACAGGTGCCTGCCCCACAGTGGACCTGGGCCGAGGCCCCTAAAGAGGAGGCACAGCCTTCACTGAGGTGATTTCCCACGAGAACACAGTTGTAAACCCGAGAGGATATAATAAGTAAGCTGGCCTGGTTGGCTGTGGAGGGGCCTGGCGTTCCTTTCAGAGCCTGTGCTATTTATGTTGTGAACTGATCTCCCTCCCGCTTCCTGGCTTTTGCTGGAGACCACCTAAGGTTCAGGACTCTCCTGGGACCTCAGAATGTCAGTGGCTGGCCACCTAACCTGTGTGCCCTGGGGGTGTCCAGCCTTGATGTCTGGACACCCACAGCCCCCTGGGCCCCGGCCATGAGAGCTGTGCACAAGGTGGACACAAAGGCCCAAAGGAAGCAATGTCCGACCATCCTGTCCCTTTACTCCACATCCTCCCCACGGGCAGAGATCAGCTGCGTGGATGTGTGCCTGGCCCGTGCTCCCATCTGTCAGGGTGTATGGGACCCACCGTCTGGGGCTGGGAGCCTCCCGCCCTTCCCAGGTGGACTTTCTGCCAGGCCTGAGGGCTGCCCCGTCTACCTGTTTGTCCTGCAGGTCCGAGGAGAGCTCATAGCTCTCAGAGAGAGACCGGGAGCGCTTGATGGCCTCCTCCTCGGCCTGCTTGCGCAGGATGGAGGTCGAGTGCTGCAGCTTGGGCCGCCGTGTGCGCTGCTGCCCCGGAGGCCCGGAGTACAGCCCATAGGCCCCCACCGACGTGTGCTCGTAGTGGTCCGGGCTCAGGCTGGAGCCGGGCGCTAAGGGGCCCTGGTGGTAGGTCGAGGGGCTGTCCAGGGACGTGCCGGTCTCGCTGCTGGGTGCCTCGCCCTCGACGCTGCAGTGGAGAAGGAGAGGGGAGAGGCCCACAGTGAGCAGGAAACCCAAACCCTGGGACTGACAGGGCACAGGAGCCATGAGGAAGACCCCACAGGTTCCAGGGGACCCCACAACACATGGTCTCCCTGCCTCCCCCTCCGCCCACCACTGATTCCCATATGGAGCCGGAAGGACCTCTGCTCTGCCCTGCACCTTCCTAAGGTTCACCTCCCTCAGATTTCATTTTCTCTAAAACTCACTACCTTCTAGTATCTGATACACTTTACTGACTGATTTGGCTATTGTCTGTCTCCTACTTGAGAGCATTGTAGCTCTGCAGGAACAGAGGCTCCTCCCGCCAGCCCCTGAGGTTCCGGCGCCTCCAGCAGGGCCCGGCTTGTCCAAAGCGCTCTTGAACATTTGCTGAACTGAACGGATCCTGTCACCTTCTCTCCCTCGCTCCCACCACCTGGATTAAGTAAATCTTTCTTAAACAGTAATTAACAAGTGACTCCTTACTGCACACCTGCTCGGGGGTCAGGCACGTGGTGTCTGCTATGGGCTGAATCACGCCCCCAGCCCCAGTTCACATGAAGTCCTGGCCCCCAGTACTTCTGCACGTGTCTGGATTAGGAGACAGGCTTCAAAGAGGTGATTAAGGTGAAGTGAGGTCGTACAGTAGGCGAGCCCTAATTCAATCTGACTGGTGTCCTTACGAGAAGAGGAGATTAGGACACAGGACACACACAGAGGGACCATGTAGGGACACAGAGGGAAGACAGCCGTCTGCAAGCCAAGGACCGAGGCCTCAGAGTAACCGAGCCTGACGACCCCCTGGTATTGGACTTCTGGCCTCCAGAAGCGGGAGGAAATGTCTGTTGTTTCAGCCACCCTGCCTGTGGCACCTGCTACAGTGGGCTTAGAAAGGAACCTGGTGCTGTACATACATTTTCTCTATACCTGTGAACCAGCCTGCACAGGAGGAATCATTAACTCCTCCTTTCTGGTTGAGACCCCCAAAGCCTGGGGAGTGAGTAGGTGAGTTGGGATAGAAGCCCAGGTTGGTGGGATTCCCAAAACCGGGGGTTCACCTCCACCTCACTGCCCCTCGCCCCCAGATGCACACCCGTCCCTTGCAGTGTTCCAAGCGACAAGCAGGAGCAGCATCACCTGACAAGCAGGGGACAGAGAGGGACTGGCTGACTCATTCATCCCGAACTCATGCACTTAGAAGATGGTCACTAGTGCCTGCAGCAAATTGCTTTTCAGTGAGGGACAAGGACGGAAGGACGGGTGAGGTTGAGGCGACGGGTTTCTAACACAGGTTCTGGCAGCCTCTCCAATGGGGACCCGCCAATTTCACATCCCTGCAGGGTATCACTCAGGCCTCAGATCCCCGGGGCCAGGGTAAAGGTCTCTCTGGAAGTGGCCCAGCAGAGAGAAGAGAACACTGGCCCCACTCAGGCTACAGCCCTTCCTCAGTGGTCCTGTCTGTAGACCAATGGGAACGCCTTGCATTCAGCAGCCGGCTGCCCAGCTCTGCTTCCACTGTTCCCACTTGTCCCAGGGCCTGGCAGGGCCTCGCTGCCAAGTATAGAATGTGAGACTGTTCACTGACTCCTTGGGGAGAGATCAGAGTGGGGGCATAGGGCGGAAGGCCCTGGAGCAGGGGGCCAAGGCAAGGCCAGCAGACCCAGGCAGCAGGAAGCAGCCTTTAACTCCAATTCTGCCCCAAGCCAGGGACAGGCTGTAAATCCCTGCGCTTGCTTTCCCACTTGTAGTTTAAGAATAGCACAGGACTTCTGCTCCACCAATGGGCTTTGGCCTCTGGGGACAAGCAGTGGGTCTCCAGTGACAAAGGACATCCCATTGTGCTCCCCAGAGACCAGAGTGTGACACAGGTCCTTCCTTGGGAAGAGCCCTGAGCTGGGAGTTTAGGGACCTGGATGCCCTGCCTTGTTCTGGCTGTGAATCAGGATGGGTCACCCTCATTCCAAGGCCTACCTACCGTTCTGTGGTGCAGGTCACCTGGGCTAGGTGCTGTCAGGAGTCAGAGGAGCACCACCCTCCAAGACTGTCCTGACGTCAGTCACCCGGGAGACTCTTCCTTTGAGCCGCATAAGCACACTGGGTCAGCGATAGGGTCGGGGACAGGCAGAGCTTAAAAACCCACCATTCTTCTGATGAAGCCTCCAACGGGGCCTCACAATAAGCCCCTGGTGGGTCCGTCAGTAGCTGCAAGGGAGTACAGGAGGCCCCGCAGCAGACCTGCAGGTGGTCGGTCCCTGACATAGAGAGACGAGTACACAGGCTCTGCTAGAAATGTGTGTCCAGGGCCCTGGGGCCCAGAGGCCCCACTCCTCCCGGGCTTGTCTCCTCTGTTCAGCCTGCAAGCACCCTGCCAGGAAGTATTTCCACCCACTGAAAATGTTTTGGTCAGGGGCCGAATCTGTTTTTCCAAGCAAAAGGCTGACAGGAAGCAAAATCTCAACTTTGAGGCCACGCAGCCGGGGCTCTGCTTGTAGCTCATAAAGATTTTAAATAGTCTGGCAGCCCTGAACTTCAGAAACACAGGGAGACTGCAGGCGGGTTCTGCACAGGTCTCGGGAGTGGAAACCCTTTCCAGGCCTCAGGGGGTGCTTGGAGCTGCTGGAAGCCCTGTCAGGCAGGGGCAGGGGGACCCCCACCATGCCACCCCAATGTGCCCTGGGACAGAGGAGCCATGTCCACCCTCACAGCTGTTACCTAGCCCTGCTCACCTGGCCTCAGACCACTGCAGGCAGGTGGAATGGGGCATTCACTCTTCTGAGAGCGGGGAGGGGAGGCTGGGCCCTAGTCTGCCTGTGAATTTGAGTGGTTGTCATCATTCCCAGGGGCTCTGTTTGGGGCAGAGCAGGCCTAGGAGAGGGAAGAGGTGACAGCCACTGAACTCAAGGACTTTGTGGGGAAGGGCCTGGCTACCTCGCTGGCCAGAGTCACAGGCAGGACACTGGTGTGGGTGTGATGACCATGGAAGCTTTGGGCCGAGGGGAGGGGCACTCTTTGGGATATGACAGGGATGGAGGTTGTTGGGGGGAAGCAAGAACTTTCGGGGCTGCACCAGCCCAGAATTCCTGCCATGGGTATCACCTGGCTCCCAAATGCCTTGAGCAAGCTGGTTCCAGAACATGCTTGGGAGAGAGGGCCAGGCCTCCTCTTGAGGCCAAGGGAAGCGGTCTGCTGGTCACCCACAGAATTTCCCTTTGCCATGGCGGCAACTACAGCCTCCTCAGCCCATCAGCCCCGTCTTTCCAACACACCCAGGCTCTGCCCACTTCCCAGCAGGTGGCCAGGGCACAATCATGCTCCCTGGTCATCAGTCACCTTCACCTCTCTTCTCCCCAGGCAGTCAGAGCAATCCTGATAAAACATAAGCCAGATCAAGTGCCTCCCCTGCTCCCCACCACACTTAGAAGATGCTGTCCTTGCAATGCCCTACACAGCCTGACCTCTCAGCTGCACGCATCTGGGCTCCTCTCCCCCTGGCTTATTCTGTCCCAGCCTTACTGGCTTCCTTCCTCTCTTCTCAAAGGGGTCAGGCATACCCCTGCCTCAGGGCATTTACACTGGCTGTTCCCCCTGCCTGGACCTCTCCACCCCAGGTCTCCGCACAGACCACACTCTCACCTCCTGCAGGTCTTGACTCAGTGCCGCCTCTCAATTGCATCCTCCCTTACTCACCTGACTTAAATCACATACTGCCCCAGACCCCGCAAGCCTCCCTGACCCTCTTTCCCCTTTCACGACCACCATCACCTTGTAACACACCGTATAACGTAATCGCCATGATTTCTGGTTTACTCTTTCCCGCGTCCATAGGAAGCTCTCTCGGGGCAGCGGTGATTCGTTTTGCTTACTGATTTCCCCGAGTGTCAACACGTGCCTGACTGACAGCTCTCAGTAAATACCTGCTGAACCAGTGGAGGCATTTCCCATGGCTGCTGGGTGCCGGGTCCTCAAACACAGTCTCTTACTTCATCTCCGCCAGACATGCTGCATGCCCCAAAGCTAACTCCTGACATTGCTGTCACCATGCAGTGACTCAAGCCAGGGTCCTGGGCATCATCACGCTGACTCCACAACTCCAGGGGATGCCATCCACCGTTCAAAAGGTCCTAGTGGCAGCTCCCTCCACTACTGCAGCCACGCGACGTATCGCCAGCTCGCCCTACAGCAAATGGACTGACACAGCCCAGGGAGAATGTTTTCATGTAGCTTAAGAGCCTGTCCTGAGCCAGTGAACATCACTTCTGGATGGTCCCCACCAGAAGCCATATAATAGTAGACACTAAAGGAGAGGCTTTTCTTAATCTGAGCCAAACACCCAGTTAATGGAAAGATAATTTATTCAAGTGAAAATGCGTGCAGTCATGGTACACTCAGGAGTATAAGGTGTGTCACTTCTCAGAGCACTACCTAGAAAGTTAAACTTCAGTCACGTAGACGTTTGACATCCTCTGGCTGGATGCATAAATGGGTTTGACTTGCAGCAATGTCCTGTAACTCAGGGTCGTGAGCCCCCTCTGTCCTGGTCAGAGCTCAGCTCTGTTGCCCCATTCCTTCCCGGGCAGGAGGACCTGGCAACTGTGAGCAGGACAGTCATGCTCTCCTCCCCACAGCAGACTGCCCTGGAAACAAAGATGTCTGCTTTACAACGCGGTCCACACTGGACCCGTGCACACAGGTGGGGCTTTGAGGTCAGGGCTCCTCCAGGCCCATCCCCGCCCCCCCTCCACTGCCACCCCTACCTCCTTCCCCGTGAGCCTCGCTGCCCTGGCAGCCCACCCTGAGCACCACTCCTTCCCCGAGGTGATTTCCCGGCTGGAGTGCACATGTCTCGCCCACCTGGGCCGGCTCCTCTCGCTGCCTGTGTCCGCCAGCCAGGGCTGAACACTCGGGAGTCGCCCTCAGCTGCACACTGGGATTCGTGATCTCTCTCCATCTCCCGGGCCATATGCAAATCAAAGAGTGAGGTGGGTT